CACTCGGCGGTAAATGTTGCTTTGGCAAATGAAGTGTGATGTATGTGTGGAGAGGATAATCAAGAGATGTATGTATATATAGAACTTGAGCTATATTTAATGAAGCGCGATTAATAATGGCGCCGTAACATGGCAATTAAGTAGCGCAATGTAGGATAAATAAATAGCAAAAAACTGCGAAAAGTAATGGAAATCTATTTTGCATACGGCGGTGTAATAATAGACGCGTGAAAATGGATCCTTTCGCGTGCCATTCGATCGAATGTGCTCTTTAATTAGCAGGAAACTTTCATGAGCGCGGCACGTTTTTCGCATTTATATCCCGAAACACGACTCTAAGCAGCGCCAACGATATCGCCCGGCAGTAATTATTCTCCCCCGGGGTCTGCAAGAGAGTCTCGATGCTCGTGTGTACGTTCAATTAAAACGGCTCGCGGGAGTCGAACTAATACGGATACGCCATCGTTAACGATGCGGGAGGAAAGCCTGCCGGCTTCCGAAGAGCAACGTCTAGACGATACGAATACGGCGCGACGAAAAGTTGGGAAACGCGAGCGCCGGGAGTGCATTTAGGCGGAAAACGCGGATCGGATTGGGTACAATATTTATGTATGCTTCGTCTCTGGCTTCGATCCATTTCCGTTTTCACCCCCGCGACGATAGGAGGTGAAAACTTGGTTAAAGGGGAACTGGGGATGCACTCCGATTACGGCCGCAGCAAGTAACCATTAATTTGACTCGGTCGAAATAACAGCAGCAAACTCAGCGGTGCAAACGATAGTTCGAAAAAATGATTACCCGCGATGGCAGCTACAATGGCACGGTGATGATCCCGATAACGAATAATAGCAAACGCGACCTTTTTCGAACTCCGAGCGACGCGGCGCGTTTATACGTCCGGACTGTCGATTGAAAATCAAACCGCAATATCGCAGCTCGCGTATCGGATCATCGGGGCTAAATTTGTTGACGGAATTACCACTATTCGCGGAAATGCGCGTCGGTGCGTGCTATTGTTCTCTCTGTGAAACTACCACAGAACAGAATGGAACTATTAAATTTTAAAGAAAATCGATACCCCCGCTGGAAACTAATTCAGAATATCCGCGACGTTCGGTGATTCGATGAACACGGCAAACTAACTAATTATGATAAACGTATCAGTGTAACATGTAATCAACTCCGCGCTTTATCAATGTTACATCGCGCTAACGCAGATGCTCTTCGATCAAGTTTTAACACAATTAGAACACAACACGGACGCAAAAGGTAATGCCAGTTACATACGTCGGCTTGCTCGATCAGGGTTGATGGGCATCTCGCGAGTACCGGAGGTACTCGGGGAACAATACACTTCCGACGCGGCTGACAAAGACGCACGGCGCGTATACTAGGGGATCGGCATCGACGGGAGGAAGCCGGAACGGAGGACACGTACGTTTGATTCCGTGGGACGGCGCAATACATCTCTTCTCGGTTTACCGGTCGCTCGTTGAGACGGAAGTGTATCGTGCCCGACGAAGCGGGCACATCCGGCTTGCAAGATTAATTGCCAATAAACCTCCATTACAGAGACCTCTTCCCGTACCGTCACTCTTCACGATATCGCGCCGTTTCTCGGTCAGCTGTTTCGTACGCAGCGGTGTCGATCGCGCGGATCGTTTGGAGACAGATCTTTTAATGGAAATAACGAAATAACGTGAAAGTTACGTTATCAGGCGTCGCTCGCCTGCAACAATGTACGCAAGACAGAGACGAGAAGTTATTTATCACGCGGGAGATAATTTATGATGGAAACGATACAATATAACTCAGAGGCGCAATTTATTCCTCTCGACAATTCATAACGACTGTCACGATTATTCACATAATACAAGCTGTCTCGAAACAAAATACGCTGTCTCGCCGGAAGATTAATAATTTATTGTTCCACAGAAGCGTCTAAATTTGATCTATGTCTCAAGAATTTTACGTTAAAGGAATCTGAACAATGAAAGAAAGTACACAGCGTTAGCAATTTTTCTAAATGAAGACATTAAGTTTCACTTTAGTCTTAGATTTGTACTTACATTTTACTTTTATGTTTCAATTTGATATGCAGCGGAAGGTATTACCAACAAATTGTTACAAGTACGCATGCCGTATTTTTAATTACATGATGCATGACTTCGCACTTGGAAATTGCATTTATGCAAATGCGGTGACTATCTGAAAAATTTGACGTAGAAAAATGATGCCAGTTCGCGTGCTTAGAGGCTGCATGATTATGCATGCAATAAATCTCGCTTCGAGATCACCGAGTGAATGCTTAGGAACACGTGCGAATCGATCGTAGCCTATCTTGCACCTCTTGCTTGGTAATCGAGGGAAATTGCTTTCATCTGAATTCAAAAGCATGTACGGGAGATCAAAGTTCTTACGTGCCGCGATGGCGAAACGAACGGACGATGGTGCGAAGAACTTATCACGCGAGCGTCGATTAAAGTTTCCACTTTGCACCTGGTTTCATGAATTTCTCGACCATGATTGATCGCTTTCGACTACTTCGAAATTGTCATTTTCGACTCCGACACATTCCAAGGGAATATTAATGAAGAGAATGACGAATATTATCTAATACATTATCTGTGAATATTTTTTGTGCCAATCTCGATTTTAATTCTGTGTCTTTGTGCGCAGATTGTAAATTTAGATTTATCATGATTGACACAACCGCTCATAATTCGAAAGCCGATAATATTTCAACATTGCGAGAACAGGCGGTAAACTTTACCACTTATGAGCATCGACAGGGTCGATACCCGCATATCACGAAAGTGTAGAGGAAAAAGAGGAGGGTTGGATGAAAGAGAGGGTAAATTGATGGAACGGTACGATTAAAAGCTAATGACATCGCGTTTCTACGCGAATGACGGCTTCAAAAGAAAGCTTTTTCTGAAGTTGGCTGGCTTGACAAACGATCGTCGGGCCAACAAGAAACGGTGTCTAGCGCGAACAGTCTTAATGAAATGGTCTCAATTGAACCAATTGATTAATTTGGCCACATCAACTATAAAAATTCAACATTTAATGTGCATTTATTGTGTAAACAAAAGATAATGTAAGATAGTGAACATTATATTACAAATATATATTATATTACAAAGAGAAGAAAGTAGGCAGGTTAAATAATTTAAACTATATGAATATTAAAGTGTAAATTTGTAAATTAAAGCGTAAGAGTTTTTCTTTTTATTATTCTTTTGATGCTTCATGCTTTCTCGATAGACTTCTAGCTATTTATTTGTCTTTTTTAGACGCTTGGCAAGTAAAAATAAAGCACTTCTAACTTCTGACTTATCTGTTACCAACCAGAAACTGTGATGGAGTTCTAGCTTTGAAAAGCGAATATTTGTTTATGAAAGTCCACGAAAGTCCACGAATCTACAGAATATCCTTCTCAAATTTATAGGATCTTTGTGATATCCGCGATTTCTAAAAAGAGTGGATGTGCGGGTGTATGTCACTCTCTACCACGCGACCATTTTCTCGGGAAAATCCTACTTCACATAGCAGTACGTGCATCGCGGTTGACATACGCCACAAATTATTATTTTGACATTTTAGATCGTTCTTTATTTCTACATCACGAGCTCTCGATTCTCGTATCTCGCGAGCCCGTGATGCAGGAAGTTCTCATCAATCATTTCAACGAAATGAAAATATAGATAGTCGGTGGCAAGAAAAATTATGCATAAAAAGGACGGCCGCTCCGACCCGAGATACATTATTGTCTTTTGTTTTTTCCTGAGCTACATGGGGTTTTCACTTGCAAAATGTCCAAGAGATGGATATTAATTAGCAAGGTAGTAGTACAATATACGTGCTCAAGCACGAAATAACAAAGGGATAAAAGTTGCTAAATCGTGAGACATTTAAAATAATTGCTAGCCGCACAGAATGTAGATTTTTCGGGCGCCAAGGGAGCAAGTAGGAAGTGATACTGTATTTAAATTTTAACGTTTCTCAGTTCGTTTTGACGTATTATCTAGGGAAAATCGTGTAGATTCAATTAGAACATGCTAAAAAATTAGATTACTGGCGCGGCATATATTATATTACTCGTTATCAAAAATGTCGGCCGAAAGAAATTTATTTAACGCGCGATGGTGCATCGCGCACTGCTAAATTTCCATCGTATTTCCATCATAATTTGCGATGTTTCTCTTATCTTTACGCACACAGATAAATTCGTGCTCTCTCTCTTTCTCTTTTCTCTCTCTCTCTCTCTTCTCTCTCTCTCTCTCTCTCTCTCTCTCTCTCCTATATCAACTGCGTAATTTATGGAGAAAGCGAGCTTAAGGTCTCTTACACGTCGCTACTCGTTTACTTTTCGACTATCCAGTGAATAGAGCCGATGCTGGGTGACGCCGCATCTGGCGCCGGGGACAATTAGTGAAGGGCTCACGAGCCGTCGGAATTAACACACTCACAACGGCGCGAGCGAATATTTACCGGCGCGTTATGTGCAGCCCGCGTTGTGTGCGTGGGCGCTTGTTCGCGAGACAATGGACTTGCCGAGTAAGCCGTCCCGGGGAGCGCGACGATACACCGAGAATATCCTCGTCGAAGATCGCACAGACGCGCTCGTCGTGGAGATACCGAGGAAGGGCATTATATCGGTGATTATATCGGTAGATGCTGATAGTGAGAAAATGGAACCTCGATGTCAGCAACTGGAGAATACCACTCCAGCCCCATTGGCCGACCTTTTCAGCTCGTGCCAAGGGGACAATACCGATCGTGAGAACTTGCCTTCGCCTCGACTGCCGTGCGGCCAATTTTCCTCAGTAAAAAAAACAGACATTAGGACGACAAACTTGTTTGTCATCGTCAAATAAATGCGACGAGTTTTGGAACAACCAGAAATTAAATAGACATTGTTAGCATAATAATAATTTTGTCTTTTTTGAAACAGAACTTTATTGTTACTAATTAAATCGTATTTTTATTGGTTTCAGATTGCTGACTTTTTGCTATTTAGCAGCGTTGAATTGTTGGTTACTTCTGTGTCCGGCTATACTCTCGCATGATTGGCAGATGGGATCTGTCCCTTTGGTTACGTCTTTTACGGATACCAGAAATCTGGCCACCTGTATATTTTTCGGCGGTTGTTTGGTTCTCACGTACAAAGCCTTCACGGATTTCGAGGTGAGTGCATAAATTCAACTTGCATATATTATAGGTAACGTTAGAATATGCCACTAAACGAGAAATGTTTATATATAAATTATTGCGTGCAGAGAATTAATTTTATTTTATTTTAATTTAATCGACGTAAATGCATCGTAAAAAAAGTTATTTTTTCAAGTGGCTGGTATTGCGAACTTGCCGACGTTATCGGCCATCTTACGAGAACGTAAAATGGAATGAGTAGTTATCGTCTACGAAATGTCATCTTGCGGTTAAACGTTTCAACCATGGGTCTAGCGTGTAACAAGGGACGTGGTACTTCGTACTTTCAGTTCCTGTCGGCCACGTCCGACGTAGTCGACAATGATGAAGTTGTGCTCGATTCGAGAGCCGTAAAGGAACTTCTGTGGTAACCGCATGACATAAGGTCTCCAAGTCAAACGATAAGCGCGTATCGCGTAAACTACATCTGTCCTGCGCGTCCTCTTTTGGATCATCCATCAGTAACGGCCGCCGAGTTCACGGTGTAATGACCTCTTTAAAGTTTGCTAGTTCCACGTCGGTGGCCACTTTTATCTGCGGCTTTAATGTCACACACTTTTTCGCCTGCGGCGACCGGACTCTTCGCAGGCACGAAGTAGAAATGGAAGCTTTTTTCTTAAACGAGGTCATCTTTACTCTTACGCGTGAAACGGTCTATGCGTTTACGCGATTGCCTCGGAGGAAAAAGATCTTTTTACAAGTATGTTTGCTTTCTATCCTATTATCAGCTTTTCTTGTATATCTGAAGATTTAATGTTTAGTGCAGCGAGATTTCGCAAGTATATATATATATATATATCTCAAAGCTTACTGGTTTTTTATTTTAACATATAAACTAATGCAATATTTATTCGGGAAAGAACGTCCTAGATAAATTATATCTTTATCGGTAAAAAATGTATTATGATATAATGGATAATATCTTTAAAATGTTTTGATAATTAAAAAATAAGTTAAAAGATGTTTATTTAAAATACAATATAAACTATGATAATTATATTAAATAAATTTCAGATGATGATGCGCCACACGTACTTTCAAATATCAAAAGTAATATCTTACATCTTTAATATCTCATAGCGATGTTACATTCAATTGCTACATTAACGAGATGAAATTTGTATCTTTGATAAAGCACATACATATATTATGCTGAATGTGTAAAGTCTATTTAACAAGTCGTACGAAAGTTTTATGAAGGTAGAAATACTACATTAATTTTAATTGATAAATAATACATCTCGTGTAGCGCATATTGTATAATTATTCTAACTATTTAAGAAGGGACAATCGGTGCAAAAGATCTGCTTCGTTATTATTGTACGTATTCTCTCATACACTTTCCGCGGAATTAATCGATATGCAATAAGCAGCAGTACGCTATTCTTCAGACTCTCTATTTGAACAGGTGCTTTAGGATTCTTTTTCAGTAATATTTCACTATCCCGTTGCTCGTTTAGCATCTGTTTAAAATATTATACTTTTTAAAATTGTACTAAATATAAAAAATGAAAATAATAAAAAATAAATTTTAATCAATGCCATTTAAAAATAAATATCACAAATGTATGGCACAATTTATATTAATATCGATATTATTTGTGTCTTTCGCAAAATGTATTATTTTGATAATGTATCGATGCTTACTTCGTACAAGCTGGTGGCTTCGCTAATGAATTCTCTAGTTTTAAAGTCTTCATTGCATTTGTTTATTTTATTTGTTGGATGCAAGGATCTTTTGAGCGAGGAAAAATTTTTTTTTATTTTTGTATTTTTTAGTATCGATGTGATCGATATTTTGTTAATAATTTAATCTTATTTTGTGTTAAAAATCCGAATTTATATTATCAGAGGTCGATTCAATTACAGACGATATCGCTGACGTGAACCGAGCGTCGTGTTTCGTCGGTATCGACAGAAGACTAAACTACGTGAAACGTTATGTTTCTCTTTATCTTTCACCCGTGTTTCTGTATTCGCATCACCGGACGATGACGTTGTTATCTTATTATCTAAAATGCTTGTGTTTTCGTCCTTATTTTTCGTTTGCTTCAAAACACTTATATTTGAAACATCTAAAGTTGCAATAATATCCTGAATGTTTCTCGTAGTGTGCCAGCTATTTTGACAATTGCTCGAATCTTCTGCGTAAATATCATATCGTTTCTTCGATATTATTGGAAGTCGCTGCTTCGGCTGATGTTTCTGCAACTTTCTCAGCTTCCTTCTCAACACATTAAATTTATCCTTATTTTGTGTGCGTTCTTCCGCATGAATGATACGACCTGACGTCATAACCAGCCAATCGTTCGAATCAGCTTCTTTGACCTTGTTATGCGCCTCCGCTTTTTCTGAAGTCGATAAATTAACAGTGACTTTTTCATTTTCTTTAGCCTTTTCGCCTTTAGAAATATCTTCATTCATAACTTGTGTTGTTACAGAAGATTTTGCAGATGATATCGATTCGCTATCTTTAGCACTTCTAAATAAAGTTTCTATTTTGTGTACATTTTTTTGGCGGTTGTCACTTTTCGTTTCTGCCACGCTGTCTACTGTTGCAGAGTTTTCGTAATTATTTTTTAGAATTTCCGAGTTGTATGCTCTTTCGATCTTTCGTGCTTTAGAGAATAAGTTCTACATTTCTGAAAGACCTTTTTTAATTACATCTTCCCGAGAAATGCTTTGACTTTCTACTTGCGTCTTCGCCGCACCATTGGATAGCAAATTAAATAAGCTATGAGAATTGATGTCTTTTATATCAGTAGAGAATATTGCTTTTGTTTTTGCATTTATAAGAGCATTCAAATCTTATTTTTGCCGTTGGTGTTCTTATTTTGCATTTGTGCTTCTGCATAAGAATCAGTTGACGATATTGTCCGGAGTAATTTATCTTGTCTTTATATTTACTGAAAATCATAGTTTGCGCTGATATACTTGCAAACGTCCGTGCGATCGTTTTGCAGAGATCTATTTATATGATTTATATTTTGCACATCGAATTTTGTATAAAAATCACTTGACGGTATAGCAGTTAATTCTTCGAGATTATTTTTACTATTTGTATAACTGAAAATTTTCGAATCCGATGACGCTGTTGAACGAATCGTAATTAAATCGTAAATATTGTCTTTTAAGAACACTCGATTCGTCTTTTTGCATGCTTTGTGTGTCTGCAAATGAATTATCCGACGATATCTCTTTTAATAAATTATTTTTAATATTGTTAAAGCTTGTTGTATTATCTGACGCTGTAATATCTTTGTCTTTGTGCACTCTTTCTCCAGAACGCTATCTTTGGTGTGTTTAGTTTTAATTATCTTTTGATCTTCAGGATTTATGTGCGATATTTTTCTCATAAAATTATCTTTGTGCACTGCTTCATTATCATCTTGATTTTCAACCGAAGCTAATACAAATGACGTCGCTGATGTCAGTGCATCCGTGGATTCTTGACTATTTCGTGCAACAATCAGTGAACAAATGTTATTAAATTGTGATTCAATGTATGAATTGGGCAATGATAACACTTTTGACAAGTTTTGTTTATTTATATTCTTGACTCTACTCGATTTTACATTTATTACAGAAACTTGCAAATTTTTTTTTAAATTGTCAACAATATTTTTACTCTTTACTATTCGGTCTTTTATATCATTGCAAGATGTCACTTCTATTATTTCTCCCTGTCGATTAGAATCGTATTCATGCTCCGTTCGTGTTTTTGTACGTAAATTGGATAACGATGCTGTTGTCGCTCAACTTTGATGTTTATCTTTAATAACACTGGAGCTTGTTTCTTTCGTTTACACAAGTGCATTAGCGGCATTTGCGAAGTTATTATTCGGTGTGTTTTTCTTTTTTCCTTTTTATTTTTCATATGTGTACCGTAACCAGAATCGGTTAATGAATTCTTTTCTACCAGCTTGTTCCGTCGTTCATTGTCAAGACAAACCGCAGAATTTGCTTCCGCGCTTACGATTATTCATTTTTTCCCCCGAAACATTTGAATTATTATTACTTTCTATTTGTAATTTTGCATATGATTGAGATTTTGTTGAATCCTTTATTAATTTTTTTTCGCTCTCAACTTCTCTGGAAGGCACCGTCTAACTTTGCGGCGCTTCCAGTAACTTCCAAACTTTCTTTTACAATATCGCTAATCTGTTCGTGTTGCACTTCCGCACGTGAGTTAGATGACGCTACGTCTTCCAATAAATTTTGACGTGCATTTCGCATTTTGCTGGAATTGATTCCTTCTACTGACAACAGTATATTTGAAGTAAATGCCCCACTTTTTATTGGAACATTTAAATCACGTTACTATGATAATGACGTCTCTTTTTTTATGCCATCTTGTTCAATTTTAGAAATTTTTGAGTTTGTTATTTTTGCTGATGCTTTTGTAATATTTTCGTGCGTTTTTTTTATTTCGTTCACTTATTTTTACGATATTAGAAAGATCCGTTAACGAATTATCGTGCATTAAAATATCTTTATGCGCTTCTTTATTGATGTTCTTGGCTATTGATTCTGCGGATATTTGTGTTTTCGTCGCAAATTTTTTTTTTTTTTTTTTGCGATTTTGTATACGAAGGTAAAGATGCTGCTGTTTGGCACTCTGCGAGCAATTCATTAATCATTATTAGTCTCTGAATTAGTTACTGCTTTTTTCCTTAAGATATCTGATTAATCATCAAACTTTTATTAAGTTTTCATATCGAGTGAAGATGATAACTTGCGTTCACTTTTGCCTACGATATTAATGTCGGCCATTTTGATAGCATCTAATAGAATATCTTATTTATATCAGTGATATCTCTGCATGTAATTTATCTAACGATGTTTCTTTAACAAACTATTTTGATTCTCGCTATTAAAACTGTTTAATGCTGCTGATTTTAATGATACAACTTTATTAACAAGTATGGAATTTAAGTATGGAATTAATTTCGCTTTTTGTGTACCAGAATCATCAG